AAAGGTAAAGCACTTTAATTCTTGACAAAGACACATTAAAAACTCAAGTGATGAATTTCTTATACACGATAAAAATTCACATCAAAAATTATTTTCAAAGGTAAGATTTTTCAACATAATCTTGAAGACTATTAAATCTCACTTACCTTGAAATATCTAGCAAAAAATGTCATGCAAAATATTCACTAACTGCAAACAAAACCAAAATTGTGACCCAGAAAAACTCTGGTCGTCCGGACGTCCGGTTCGCCAGCAACGGTCGGATTTTTGACCATTCTGACAAGTTTCAAAAGGCTACTTTCTAGGGTCGTCCGGTTCTAAACTGGACGTTCGGATGGGTCGTTCGATTTGGCAGAAAAGTTGGTTTTTTCAACTGTTATAAATACTAACTCACCTACCATTTGTAAAGGGACTTTTGAGCATTCAATTGATATTCCTTTGAGCAAACATTGTATGGATTTCTCATATCACTCATTATCAAATCACTTTACAATTGAAGAGTCTTTTGATCAAATTAATTCTTGAAAATCATTCCATACATCAAAGACTTCCACACCTAACACTTGAGCTTCATTCATTAATTTCTATTAAAGTGTTAGTCTTCTTATCTTCTTGTACTCAACTTTGGAATCATCATTGATTGAAAAGAAAAGATTTCATTTGTAAACTTACTTGAATTGTGGGTCGTGTTGAGGTCCCGAAAGCTCAACGTTGTAAAAGGCTCGGTGGTCCTTGCTTGTACGTCATCGGAAGCATTGTAAAGGGTTGGATTGCACNACGGGGGACGTAGATCATTGCGTTGGATCGAACCTCCAGAAATATATCGTTTGCACTCTTTATCCTTTTCACTTATTGCTTTCATATTTATTTTTATACTTGAATCAATATATTTAGTTATTACTTGTTGATTTTAAGTTAATTTTTCGAAAAAGTTTTAAAAACCAATTCAACCCCCCTCCCCCCCCCCCCCCCCCCCTCTTGGTTAGCTAGTCTTGAACTATCAGGATGGTCGATAAACTTTTCTAATATCTTCGTCACCACCTGAAATACGATACAAAATAACCGTTTTAACTACCAAATCGAGAAACCCTTAAAATCTAATGATGGAATACTTAAACTTGATTTCTTGATACTTGAATAAATTTTCCAAATTTTCAATTGGAGCTAATTCTACTTTCTAGCCATTACCTTCATCCCAAACATAAAACAATTCCTTCTTTCAATCTAGTGAAAATTAGTAACCGTAATTCAATCAATTTAATTTTCTTGTTCCATAAATTTATTCTTTCACATGAGTAACTCCATCAACATAATCATTTCCACAAACTATCATTACTCAATAACCCAATTAAAAATTCTAGGGTTGGCTAAAAATGGTATCATTTACCTCGATACAAATGGAAAGTAACCAATTGAGAAGCTAGAGCTAGAAATTGTACTCCTTTCATTTGATTAGTGATGTTCCCAACTCTCTTATTTTGGCGCTCATGGTACCTAATGACGGTTTTAACTTATCCCAAAAAAAATCCCTGAAAATTGTCACATAGAATTTGTGATCGACTCGACCGTAGAACAAAAACTTTTATCTTTATCTCAGAGTCGGCTAGCTGGGGCAAAAGAAAGATAAATGTACCATTTTGAATTTAGACACAAAATGTAGTGAGTAAAAGTAGGAAATTGTCTCCTTTGACTTTTCTGTCAATAGCAGCACTGTTGGTGTCGCTTCTTTTCGATTAAACGTGACATTAATGGAGCTTTTCGACTTATTCACACAAATTTTGTTTAACATTATCCTCATTATTTTCCATTTTTCAAACTTTACCAACGTTTAGATTTTACTCTATCCTGTGGCTTCATTTTCACTGATGAATTCGGTAGCCTATATAAATAAATCTGAAAGGTTTTTTGTTCTGAATATGGACATGAGCTGTAGAAACCATGTTTTCCGACAGAGAAAACAGTTTCAGTATATCCTGTCCACTAAATAAATATCAAAGTTTCTTGTACTAAGTTGTGACAATGAATTCCTCATGGATGTTGCACTATCCATTATATTTAAGAGTATTGATCAAGTATTCTTAGAAACTTCTTTACTATTTGATTACTTAGTATTTTCGAACTTAAAATCCTGGCTCTATTGAAAAAAATTTACCAATATTTGAAGACTGAATTATTCAGTACAATTTTTCAATATGTAGAGAATATGAAATATTATGGGTTGGAAGCAATTCAAGAAGATCAAGATTGTTGGTTCAAGTTCTTCAACTCGACGGGGCTTAAAAAAATCTCTCGACAATGCAAGCTGGAAGCGATTCCTCAAACTAACATCACAGAAGAAAAAAAATGAACTGTGTGGAGCTCCGTCTAGATTTAGAAGCTCTACAAGACAGAATGACTTAACAAAATGAATATTTTCTTTCCAGATTCATGATTCCTATCCAGATTTAGACGTGATTTTCTTTTTACTTTAAAAGATAAAGGACACCTGAAAAGCAATCCATAGAATACATTTGATACTAATTGTAGATTTGAGTGTCTATTTATTAGACATCAATGTCACGAAGATCGAAAGTATTTTAACTTCCATGTCGCCTAGATGGCAATCCGTAGAATTCGCTGGAGGTACTCTAATTTTCTAGTTTTCTAACGTATTAATTAACATCATTGACAGTAATCCTTTCTAAGAATTTTACGCAATGGTAAACTAATCGTGTTTACCTGTTTAGTAAAATGAAAGTGATGTACTGAAACATAACTTAAGCTGATCAATTGGTTAATTATCTGTCGTGTACAGTGTGTTTACATATTGAAGATGAACCAGAAAGCAAATTCCATTTTTTCCAGCTATTTTATTGTTCTGCAATGATGGTTTTGTTCTTATCCTTCTTAAAAATGTTCTAGTTTCAGTTAAACATTGAATTAACGGATTCTTGGAACAGAAATCGTCTAAAAGTCTCTACCTGCTTATTTACCCAAAAGTTTAAGCTGTTAGAAAAGAAACATTCATTTATTTGAATTTAATTTTCCACGCCCCCCCAGTGTACAGATTAAATAAAATTTCCATCAAAAACCTAACATATTCACAATTTTCTTAAATGTGTGGCGATGCGCGAGACTTAAACACAAGTCTTCAATGTTGAATCATATCATCTAAAAGCTTAAGTTACTAGAAAAGTACGTTTATTAATTTAAATTTTATCTTCAACAACTTATTTCTAGCGGTCGTCAAAGTCGTTGGTATACGTAGCTTGATTCATTGCCGAACTCGGGCTGCTGCTAGCTCCTGCTAAAATGTCATATAAGATTTGAGGATTTGTTAAGGGCTGCTGATAAATATTTGACAAATCCTAAAATGTCGATATGGGCTGCTGATAAATATGAAATTATATAAAAATTTGAGGAAATGGAAAAGTTATGACAACTCATCTTATGTATTATAGCTTAGCATGGATTATTAATTAGAAGTGGTTCTGTATTAAGACATGACAAATCTGTCCTTGTCTACCAAACATGTGCAAAGTTTTGACTCAAAATTTGATATTGATTATGCCATTTCTTTCTTTTTGGGCCCTTCCACGTTTCTTATACCAGAAAATTTAAACCTAAAAGAAAGGCATTTATTTTTTCAAATTTTATCTTCAACACAAGTAAATGCTATTAACATTAGGGATGTTAATGGAACGGGTCGATCATTTCCAACCCCGTCTCATCAGGTATTTTTGTTACCTTATCATATCTTCGTACCCGTTTAAAGCGGGTTCGGGGCGGGGCATTTATCACCCCATTTATTTTTTGTTTTTATTTTTTGTTTATTTAATTTTCGTTTTTATTTTATTTTATTTCCTTTTGTCTTTACTTAGTAAATATTATTTTTTTTTTTTTACCAATTTGTTAAAAACAACTTATATTCTTTTTAAAAATATGATAAATCTATTATTTTTGTTTGATAAAAAATTTAAATTTAAAATTAATTTTAAACGGGACAGGTAGCGGGACGGAGACTATAATTCCCGTACCCGCCCCATACTTGCTATGGGGCAATGACCCCCGCCCCGCCCCGTTTACCGGATTAGACAGGTAGTCCCTGTCCCGAACNTTATGCCCATGCTTGATACTCATTTTCTTCTCATTCTCTTTTTCATTTTTTTCTCTTTTCTTATTTCAACTACACATTCTATCAATAAAATAATATTACACATAAACCCAAAAATTCTCCTTACTTTTTAACCACACATTCTTCCATCAATCACTATTCCAGAATTTATTCTTCACCAAAATGGGTGTCAAACACACCCTTAATCTTGTAACATTTTGCCGCCTCAAATACTACACATTGACAAAATATTCGGGAGTATGCGAGTAGTAACTTTTATGCATAGTCAAACATGCACTTTGAGTTACCTCGTCTAATGACTTAATTTCTTTTAAAGAAAAGGAAAATATGTATATTGTGCAAACAATTCATTGTTTAACAACATCAAGAGATCAAAATCCAACTCCAAGTTCAAAATCTTGTGTGTGAAAAGTTATTTCAAACTCATTCCCAAAAAGTTTGTAATCACATCCTCAATCAAGATCCAAAAAGTGATATCTTTAACATACAAAATTACAAATTGAGGCACTATCCAATAAGACTTCCATAGACAACTCAATGGCTTCCATAGAAGTCTCCGATTTGATCCATCTAGTATCCAATCAAAGTCATTTACTCCATCCACATCAATTGAAGTACAAAAGGATGATTCTCAAAATAGCCCACTACTCGTTTGAATTCAACTCACAAATAACCAATTGACACTACACAGATTGTTGAAAAAAAGGCTAGACAGTGGAATATAATAAGCAAAGCAAAACATAGAATAAGATTGTGAACATGTTGGGCATATGCTCTTTAGGCTAGACTCGACAGTGCTGGACAAGATTAACGAAGTAGACGAAGGTAGAAATCTCATCGGTCGTCCTATCCAGTCCGGTCTAGTCCAGTCTAATAACATAATTACTCAACTCACAGCCAACAATGAAGGAATTGCAGACAAATTAGGAGTAGTTTTCTTGTTTGTAGAAGAAGAATCCCTTTTGCCAGAAAAGGCCCTAACTGGACTAGCAAGTGCCCATCCCCAACTTCTACTCCTTCCATGTGTGATTGCTCCTGATGATTTCCCTACCACATGATCTTGATCTTGAATTGAAGAAGGGGCCCAATTTGATGATGATGTGATCATCAAATTACTTAAAATTCCACCACACCTGATTGCTCTCTCCTTGGTACGATCTTGCCCATTATTGGACTTGTTTTCTCTATGCGACTCCACTCTGCGGAGAGTACAATCACCCAAGCCAGTTGAAATTCTCTCAAAGAGGTCACCAGAAAATCTCCTGCTTCCACAGCCAACAGATCTTGATCTTGACACTTTTCGGTCTAAACCCACCCGATGATCATCAGGATTGATCTCATCATTCTCATCAGTGGCCACAAGTTGATCTTCTTTCTTCTTGTCACCTGATGTAAAGTCTGAATCTTTACGGTTCTTTACAGTTTTCTTGGGCTTTGTTAAGTAAAGAAATGACCAGAACCCTCTTTTATTTGGGCTATAATCTTCTGAATCATTCAAGAAATGCATACCCCCTCTTGTATTATTGGTAGTAGATTTGCTTCTCTTGAAAACAGAAGGCAGCCTTGAAGATCCACGGTGGCGGGCGGTGGCGGTGGCGCCACCTCCTTGTTCAGATCTGAATGAGGGAGAAGAAGGGAAAATGGGTACAGGAAATGAAGAGACTAAATTTCCAAGCTTTTCTTGGAGGCAAAATGCACAGATCCCACCTGGGCTGCTGCTGCTGCTCATGTATGGATGATTCGTACATTGCATGTTGTCTTCTTCATGCACCACTTCCATAACCATTTTTACTCCAAAATCAAGCAAATTTCAACACCTTCAAGGATCAAAAATCACTTAGCCTATATGGGTTCTTGATTTTTCAAGCACCTTTGAAAACTATATTGAAATGCGTACAAAGTGCTATGCACAATTTGCGAGAGAGAGAGAGAGTGGTCAAAGGGTGAAAATGAATGCAGATGCAGCATTGAAGTAGGAAATGGTTGGGTGAAGGGGACCGATGAGAGAGTTCCCAGGAGCACGTGGAAACTGACGTGCTTTGAATAATTAAGTTTTAAGTAACCTTTCAGTCACGTTAAAATTTTCATTCTCATTCTTCTATTTATTTTTATTCATACATTTTTTAATAAAATAATATTTTCTTTCACAGCAGTAACTTTTCATTCTTTTTCAACCACACATTCTCCATCAATCTACTATTCTAAAATACATTCTTCCAAAATAATGTGACTCAAACACACCCAATTATAAGTGGAAAGTTTAGTGATCATTATTGAAATTAATCCGTTAATTTGAAATAGGGAAATTTGCATTTTTCCCCCAACCTTTGACAACCGTTGATAATCTATCGTCAACCTTTTTTTTAGCATAAGACTTTCTCAATTTTTCAAGAATATAGCAAAACTCGTCATTTTGTCCATTTTGGCTGTAAAAACCACGTAAAATGATGAATTCCCACCCTCCCCCTTCTTTAAATATACACACACACAAAAAAAAAACAACTTAATAAAAAGTAAAAGAAAAATTACGGCAAGAGCCTAAATCGAGTAATTGAATTTAGACTATTTTCAACATTAAGGACTAATAAAATGTCAAAAACTAACTTGTTGTCGAGGCAATATTTTACGGATCAAACGCTGCAACTTTTCACTCATTCTAACCTAATAGAAAAAGAATCTCTGGCCTGCATATGCAGTCCAAAGGGACACTACAAAGCTAGAGTAATGCTATTCATCCCCATTGGAGATGAAAACACAGTTTATGTGGCATTAATGTGGCATTAAATGATAGGTAAAATTAAATAAGTCATTTAATTTCACCTTTCATTTAACCTATCATTTAAAATCATTTAAATTGTGTTTTCATCCCCACTGAAGATGAATAACATTACTCTTTTAAATATATACTTTTTTGTGGCTTAAAATTTTTTTTGTATGCTGCAAAGAATATTACTACTCTGGTGAAAATTTGAATATGGAGTGTTGACTGTGTTGTACGTTGATCAGACTTTCCATTGACCTTTCGTGTTGGTACATTCAAAATATTCACGGCAATTCCTAGTCCCAATGGATTGCCTAAAAAGATTCACAAATTAATATTGTAATTAAAAATGGGATGGAGAAATTCATTCTTTTTAAGATTGTGCCTTTTTTTTTCTTTAGAAAAGGGTTTTTCCATTTCTACAAAAAAATGGGTGAAAGATGGAAAAATTATCAAGGGTTCTAAAAAGGATGGTTGTTCCCACGAATTATAGGAAATAGATTTGCTTGTCACGAAATTGAGATTAATCTTTGAAAATAAGAAAATTAAAGTCAATAAATGAGATAGTAAAGCATCGGGATTCTCTCAATCGAATCAGATCAATCACATCAATTATTCCATTTTTATAACACAATTAGAGACTTTCATCTTGGCACTCTAATCGGAAGATGTGTCTTTTAAACCCAATTTAATTCTAACGTGATCCTAATGATTAATCTTCCTATTACAATGTCACATTTGATTTATCGAAATCAGATTCAAAATCGACTATATATTAAAACATAAAGTAGTAAAGAATCACCCCCAATAAATTTAAATAATTGAGATTAAAACCTAAATAATTATTTCAACCAAAGAGCGTGACTAATTCTATGACCAATTTAATAAAACTAAGTCAATCTTAAAATTAATTCACGATGAGGAGAATAAAACAATTGAATCAATTTAATTTCAATTGTAACTCTAGAATTTAGTTTCCTATAACACAATTATGCATTAATGTATTAGAATAAAATCAGAAAAACGACTTTATACATCTAGCATAAAGTAGTAAACAATTCACCAATAATATTCAAGAGATTATAATTCAACAAATATTTCAATTCGTCAATAGAAAAAACATGACTGAATCTATGATTAATTTAATAAAAACTAAATCACTCTCATTACAAATTTATGAAAAGAAACTATAAATTCTAGAGTCGTTCAACAAGAGAATACCAAAATATGTGAATAATAGATGTGAAATCACCAATTTCGAAAGATTTTCTCCCTAACTTTACTGAAAGAATTAGTTGTTCATGGTGTTTCTTGAGCCATGTGGTCCGCGATCGTGGTATGGTCGGACGCCGTCGAAATTTGCAAAACTTGGATAGCGTTTTTGGACTTTCGTGGCTATCGTTCTTCTCGGATGAGATCCGAACATTGCAGAGTTGTTTGGGGTGGACTGGGGACATGGTTAGAGTCACCTGGGGATGAGCATTCGACCAGTGGTGTCGCACGACCTTGGGTGTCGTCGGATGTGAAGTTTCCGACAGAAACAGATAGCTGCATAATGGTTTTTTGGCTTCCAATTTCTGCTGATTATTGTTGCTTCGTGGTTGATGAATGATTAGAGGTGATAGAGGGGAGTGAGTTGAGGTTGTTGATAGTGGAGTCTGACGGTCTAGGTGGCCAAAAAGTGGCTTCCAATATGTTTTTACTGGCAATGGTTGTTGTGGTGTTGCTGGCGGTGGTTGTAGTGGTGTTGTTGTAGCTGTGGCGGTGGTGGTTGGCGGTGATTGAAAACACCATAAACGCTTTTTGAAAATTTTGACTTGATTATAATTGAAAACACTCAAAACGATCGTTTTGTGTTTTCTTTGTAAATTTTTAACTTGTTTTCAAAAACGCGTTTTTACAGTTTTGAAAAATCGAAAACAGAAAACGGTAAAGAAAACATGCTCTAAACCTTGTTTTATTGAGATCCGACACATAAATCCTTTTCGCCACTTCACTCAGTTCATTAGGTGCAGGCATGTTTTTTGTTTATTATTAATATTAACACGCAAAAATAACCACAAAACAAGTTGAATTAAGCTTTGATAAAGTATAGACACAAGCCATGCCAAACCAAATTTACAAACTACTAGACATGATTGAACAAATGGACGAGATTTTAGCTTTTTTGTTTTCTTTCTAATATTGTCCAATACTATCCAATCCACATTCCAAACATGCCACAAAATTTTCAAATAATACATACAGTGCAAGTCATAGCATCGGTACCATCAATCATTGGCCGTCGTTATTGTATAGCTCATCCCGATTTGAATAGAAGAACAGCTTTTGAATCCAAGTAGAAGTAAACAAAGTGGTTCGTCTCGTGGGTCACATAAGAACCTATATGCAAAAAAAAAAAGAAAAAAAAAACAAGAGAATCAGTCGATGCCAATGCATTTTCCAAGATATATTATCCAAGTCAAAAGTTGTTTCATTTTCTCGCAACTTTGGAAGTTAATCAATACGAACTAGTCAGGTGAAAATACAGGGGAAAAACAATAATACAGTGTAGAATTCAATCATCTTGCACTACTCTATTGTAATACCATAATATTGTAGGAGTTGGTGACAGCAATTTTCTGTCATTTTTCTTTCCAATCAAACAAATTTCCATAAACTGTAAGTCTGAATATCAGTTAAGAAGACATTTTGATACAAAGGGAAGATATATGTACTGAATGTGTTTTCTTTCAGTTCGAGACTAGTGATTTATCCTCTTATGCTTCATTCTCGTCCAATTTTATCGCTGTAATTGGACCTGAAACCTGTCCCTTTCATCTCCAAAGTCGTTAAAATTCCGCAAATAAGCTCTCTTCCAGAAGCACATATACACTGGCCAGCACTGGTGCATGCATATTACTAACTTTTATTTTGAGGCTGTTGATTAATAGGTACAATTCTTCAATAAAATCCACCAAACTATAGTCTATGAACTTTATATACTGGTAAGAGACATCTACAGCTCAATTATTTAATCAGCTTGAGTAAATGTTGCTAGCTTAGTCTCTAAAATAAGTTGAACTATCGTCAGCCAAAGACTATAGATTCTTGAAAAACAAAATTTAACAAGAGTGACAAACTCTAATTTTGTAGCTCAAGAGAAAACATGCTGGCACAGACATCATGAAAGTGTAATATATAAAAATAAAAATAAAAACTTGAAAAAAAAATTTTTATGCATAAATTTATTTTTTTCTACATGTTAGCTCGGCTTGTAGTCCGATCCTGGATCCGTCTCTGCCATAAACTAGTACTTGCACCTGGGAATGTTCAAGACTACAACAAGAAACTAAGCGACTACGCCTCATTCTCAATAAATTTGGGGTCAGTTTCATGAATCCTTCTACACCATTTGACTATGTTCATTGCTAGATTTATGGGGAGATCTAAAGCCACTAGCTCCTCAACAACTATAACATGCCATGTAAATTTTGGTCTATCCCTCTTGTGACTTGCTCTACCGAAATCACATCACTCCCGTGACATATATGATGTATGAGATCTTGTAGTTTGAATCTGGAAATATAAATCTTTGGGAAAAAAGGTGTGAGAAAGTAAACACGAAATTTATACTGAGGTTCCATCTGAATTGGTTCTAAGTCCACGTTGAGCTTCACCGAGGGAGACTCTGCATGCACAATAGAATGTCCGTATCACAGTCTACAGGAATGTCTCTTACAACAAAGAAATAGGACAATACTACCATGAAAACATCGCTCTCTCTATCTTTGAATCTCTACCAAAAGCTCTACAAATTGCAGTCAGACTTGGCCTGATTTTCATAGAAGATGAATAACAGTAATGGAAGTTTAGAAAGAAGGCAGAGAAAACTTTTAGCCAAAGAAAATCAGAAGATGTTTAGGCCACATCTTACTAAAACAGCGCCGCACTGCGGAATCGATATAATCCACTATTCCAAATTCCACTGTATCAAGATTGTTGCATAACTAACTTGACTGTCTATGTACTCGCCCTGTTCAGTATATTTCATATTACCATTTGGTAAATTAGGGATAGTGACCTAAAGAAGAAGTAAAGGCAACATATCCTCTTTCTCTTTCCTTCCCGTGAATTAGCATTTGAATACAAATAGGACATTCAAGAGATTATGCATACATAAATTACTATAACTTGTTATTTATTAGATTCATGCTATAACCAAACAAGTAATTGAACAACAATTAACATATAAGAGATAAAAGATAACAAAACATAAATTACTGTTAAATCGTAGCATAACAAGAAAACCAAATAATAGGAAAATGACTACGAAAAATCAATGGTAAAGGGAGATTTACCAAAGTTCTTGCCCACAATACAATGCCAAGTGGGTCCGTACTTCTTGTCAAACATCTTCTTTATGTGCTCCGCTACATCCTTCTCTACATTATACTTCTCAAATGCCTACACAAAAATACACATAATCATATATGTGAATCTGTATGCAAAAAACAATGATTTTCAAGAAATGGAAATCTGTATAAAAAAACCCAAAAACAATGGGAAAAAGGAGTTGGTTTTGCTTATTTTGAGTGAAATGAAAACAATTTACAGCTATGGCAATGTCGACAGCTTCTTTCTGTATGTCTTCTTTCATGTCGGCGCTCTTTATGATGACTTTCTTGCCTTTGGCGGTAGACCCAATTGAGGACTTCCGATCATCGGAGGATGCCCGCGACGGAGCCACCAGTGCTCCGCCGCCGCTTATCTTCGACTCTTCGCTCATTTGCTTTAATTTACTTGATTTCAGGTTCCAAAATTTTGAATATTGGGTTTATTGGAAACTTCTGGTGAAGAGAAAGAAGACAGCGATGTACGTGTGTGGTTTTTTGGAATTTGTAAAGGTTTTATAATTCTATTTTAAATTCTGATGAGAATCTAATTCTTTTCTGAGTGTACTGATTTGGAATTACTGTCTGATTTACTTTGGACAGTTTTGAAAGGTGTTAGGCTGTCAAATGTTGTATCCGTTGTGTTTGGCTAAGCTTAAAAGAAAATTAAGTTACTTACAAATAACTTTTTATATTTTTTCGTAAACGTGACATTAATTCAAATCGTCATGAATGAGTGACAAAATAAAAAGTGAAATAAAATATCTCTAGTCGAGCACAATTAGATAATTAGTAGCTTAGGAACAACTTTGCAGGTCACTCGATGCCCATATCTCGAAACAAAGCAACCCGAAACACAATGTATTATGTACATCCCTTGGAGAGCCACAAAATAGAACTAATTTGAAACAAATTGAAAATCATTTTGTAAGTTTTGAATAGTCCACAATGTACTCTAGTAATATTGGTGTTATATAGTATTATTTTTACTTTTTTAGTAAACCCATCTCATGAGCTAATGTAAGTCGTTCCCACGATGCAATGATCTCAGCATCTGATTTGCTCGGGCAGCCACAACCTCCCCATGACAATTCCCAATGACAAAACCTAGGCTAATGTAACCATTCTCCCTAGGGGAAGTCGACCCCATTGTCAGTTTAGGACATCTCTTTTTCAAGGAGGCAGCAAGGATTCGATTTCCCCTGGGGGTAGAGTACTACGAAAGGAAGTTGACCCGAAGCATCAATGATGAGTGAGCATCTCCGGTGCAATCCAACTTCTTGTCACCCGAGGAGCCCCAGTGGCATCGGTATAGGCATCAACCTTACGAAGTTACTGTTTAAATTAGATAGAAGATGCAACATTCGTGAACTGATTTATCATGATATCTCATAGTATTTCGCTCTCCACATTACCCACACTAAACACCAAATTTGTGAATTTTTCAACAGAACACCCATTTGAGTTCTTGACTACCCCCTACATGTCCTAAATATGGCTTGATAAGATGATGCCATCATCCTGCCTTCTTCCGGATATCTTTCACCGAAATGCAAGCGAATAGTGAATGTACCTTACACCTACACCGTGCACAAACCCCAGTATTCATTGTATAAGATCCTGGCTACCGAGGTTTGGCAGCCGTGGAGCAAACTCTTATCAAAGTAAATTGCAATTGCAACATGGTGGTTTTGAAAATTAAAGGAGATGATAAGTCACGGTTGAGATATGGCCTTGACTGATGTAGACATAGTTGTTTCTAATATGAATACAAGGCTAGGTGCGATTTGGAGGGTTTGCATAATTCGAAAACTAACCAAACCATGTTGGCCATTTTCTACTTCTCTATTGTATTGACCTCGACCAACACATCCTATCTTTTGTCGTAGTTTGATTGTGTGCACGTTGCAAACCAGTAGAGTTCCTAAACGTTCTAATTTAATGAATTGTAGATATTTATACACTATAAGGGTCCGTTTGATAGAAATTGTGGAAAGAAAATGAATTTCAGAAAAAGTAATTGCCTAGAAATTATTTTGCAGGAAATTGTTAATTATGTATGTTTGATTTGTATAATTTTTCACCCGAAAAATTTTTAAATTTTGTGTTCGTCTGGCCTTCGTTTGCATCAAAATTGTCCATTAAAGTTATAATTTTTTTTACAATTGATTATAAAATTTGTTTCCATTGCCAAAAAGTAAAAAACGAAAAAAAAATTCTAAAAAATCATTTTTTTTTTCATAAAAGTTTAATGTTCGGTTGACTTGGAAGAAAAGCCACGCGTGGAGGCGGTCCCAAGAAAATAATTTCACAACCATTGTATGCTAATCAAACATGGTTTTTATTTCATTTTTCATGGAAAAAGAAGGTAATCAAACACTGGCTAAGATCTATTTGACGGGACTTTTGTTTATTCAAATATTTGCAAACCATTTTTAACTTTTCGAAATCCTTGCAAAATCGGCCCGAGTCTTCAATAACTAATTTTGAGTCACCAAATTATATTAATTTAGACATAAACTCCAATAAATTATCATTAAAATGCAAACGATATTAGAATACTAACCATATTCTTAACCATACAAATAACCCAACAAACCGTCATTGTTTCAAACTTTCAAAATCAGACTTATCAAATAACATTAAAAGTTACCCCAAAAAACCCTAGAGAAAATCCTATATTCCCCATTTTGTCCGCCTGTATTTTAGGGTCCAATAACAATGGATTCTTGATACTGGGAAACCAAATCCTCAAATGCACAACAAAACGTCTTCGGCTTCATTATGGGGAGCAAAAATCCAAACCCAAAAAGTATGATATCATAGTCATAACCAGAATGTAGCAAGGGCAAAAATGACTTCAATATGCAATGGCATCTGCTCCATTTCTATGCCCTTTGCCGCTTCGATTAGTAGCTGAAGAAGAAGATGATGACGAGGAGGATGACGAAGGCAAGCGGAGTTTTATAGCATCTAAGGAGCAGTTGTCTCTTCTATTCTTCTTTACAGTTTCTTCTTCATCCATGAATATCTGCCTCCACCTGCACTCCACACTACAAAAAGCTATGTCCCCTCTGCATCAAACAGTGATGGAAAAAAGTTCAAATCTTGTTCATTTTACTATATAATCAAACATGCGTTTTCTTTAGCATGTGACTTATAAGTAGGTTTTTGAGATTAATAACTTATAAATTAAAAGTTTACTTACTTGTACATGTAGATGTCTTTGTCAGGCAAGAGTTTCTGTTTGCAGAGAAAACAATGGTCAAGAAAATCAGAATTTGACAGAGTTTTTCTTCTTGAAAAACCACAAGGAGATGGAGGAGTAATTGGGGAAGAATTAAGTGGTTTAATCATTTTTCCTTTGCTTATAACTTCTGAAGGTTTTTTGGAAACATTTTCTTGGGTTTCTAGTATTACACTCAGTCCCACCATCTCATTGGCAGTGGCTGTAAGGCGGCGGATGGCGTAGGCGGAGGAGGAAGGAGGAGGAGATTTGGTTGATGGAAAGAGGAGAAAGATAAATATAGAAGAAGGGATAGCTGTGAATGTGGTACATGGGGTTTGTTGAGTGAGGTGGTGGGGGGAGGGGGGAATTTTGCTAGAGGTTATCCAACTTATAAGTTTGTTTCATATTGGTCATCAAACTTTAATTTATTTCAATCTGATCACCAAACTTGTATTTTTATTTTAAAATGACTATTAAAATTGATAACTGTTATCAAAACTAAAGACATTCATGATTTTATCGATAGAATTTGTGACTTGATCAGTCGAAGTCCTAACTAACAAAATAGGTTCATTATTTAATACGTGTCACCTTTAAAAAAAGTGATATTGTATTTCTTAGCTCTCAAAAAATCGTTTTGTTAAGTATAAATGAAGTCACAAACTCTTAATCAGATTATGATTCTGTCATTTTTGAATATGATTATAGGTAGAAGAGAAAAATTGCAACAAAAGTACAAGTTGGCTTATGAATTTTTCGGGTACTAATTCCAAGAGTTTTGACAACAAAGTGCGTTTAATTGTCAATATTTTTCATTAAAAAAATGTGTTTTCCCCCTGATTTTTTTACTTTTGTACTGTTTGATTGACAATTTTTTCTTTGAAAAATATTTTCTTCATGAAGAAGTAGTTTTTATTTTTCAAGTAATTCACTTTCTCTCATCTATCTTCTCTCTCATCTATCCACCAATAAAAAATAGACAAATATGATATTTTCTAGATTGAAAACTAAATCAATCAAAAACATTTAATTATTAATTTTCATACAAATAAGTTCTAGGCAATATTTAATTTCTTTTCATGTTCGCTCGCAATCAAACGCACCCTTAAAGTCTTATAGACGAAATAATAAATTAAAAATAAATAAACTTAAAAATAAGACTAAACAAAATAAAGTTGAGTGATCAATATAAATAAACATACAAATTGAATGACACTAACGAAATTTCCTCTTGTGGGACCCATTCAACAGTGAAATGGGGTGGGAATGGCCCCATCTATATAACTTGTAGTGCTTCTTAAAAGCCACGTACCCTTGTATAGCTATCAAAAAAAAAAAAAAATACAATTTTTAAATTTTTGTGCACTTGGTTTTGTCGTTTAGTGCAGTTTACAGTTTTTACTTGGTTATTTTTACAGTCATTAATGGCACTTTAATGCAATTGATTTGATGTATTTACATAGTGGAACAGTGAAATTGAATCTGCATGACAGCGGTTGAAATTAGAGTGGCATGCCTTGTGCGGTTGTGCCCTATAGACAAGATCCACTAGTTATTTAGACAATGATACATGTATATAAAAATTGATATGCTGATTTACACGCATGTGAGTTGATAAATTTTGATACATTAATCTTGACAATATATTTTTCAATCAACTATCTATTTTTTGACACATAAAGAGATGTCAATCAAGATGTTTAATTTGTGTATACAAGTAATTTAATCCTAGTTCTTTTGGGCTTGGTGGGTGTAGTGGAATCGAGACGGGATGGGTCGAATGAACCATTTAGCCCCCGTTTGACATCCATTCTCTTCTCATTCTCTTTCTCATTTTTTTTCTCTTTCTTCATTTCAACCACACATCCTATCAATAAAATAATATTACACATAAACCCAAAAATTCTTATTACTCTTCAACCACACATTCTTCCCATCAATCACTATTCCAGAATTTCGGTTTATATGTTGGTATACGATGAGTTTGTTTAATTTAGAGATGGCAATGGGCGGGCTAGGCTCAGCCAGTATGCCCACAAGCTCGGCTCGTGCTCTTCAAGGCTTGTTACTCACGGGTCGAGCTCGGCTCTCATGGGACGGCTCGCGAGCTTGTTAAATTTTATTTTTTTTTAATATATACATTTTTTGTGATAAAAATAAAAAAAAAAAATAACCCTTCGCAAAGACGAGTCCACGAGCAGCTCGCCCGCCGGCTCGACTTGGCTCGGGCTCGTCATTTGAAGAGCCCGAGCGGCTCGGGGCTCGTTTTTTCACAAGCCGACGAGCCGCTCGACTCGATTGTCGTCCCTAGTTTAATTGAAAATGAAACTAGTCAATTGGCAAACAAAATTGGCGGTTTCACCCCGAAGTTTCATTTTGATTTATTTTCAAGGTTTAATATTTATCTTTTGAGTAGGGTGGGATGGTACTATTCTACAACTATGGATATGTTTTGGTAAAGTCGAATAGGTTATAGGTCGTGCTATCTATTTTTCTGTTCATATAAATGACTTTTATCGTATATTAGAGCATACAAAAAAAAGGTCTTGAGTTCAAATTTCGTCATCATCAACTTTTAAAAATTTTGCACGGGTCACATCTTTGATGAAAATGATTAATCAATCCGATCTTCATCGAGTGAAGTGAAGTGTTGAAAATTAAGGTTGCCTAAATAATCGTCTGTCTGTTTCCTTATTTTGTTTGCATTTGCAAGGTAAATTTGACCGTAGAGTGATTATTCAATATTACAAGAACTTAAATTGACAGTTCAACCAAAAGTTTGGATAACCATTCATTGAATTTTGCTAATTGCGAAGATTTAACTATCAAAGTTAACACGACATTAAGCAATCAAAGCGTTCGATTATGACTAGGAGTGTAATAGTTGTTGTCAAAGTCGAGTTTTCCGTCCCTACGACTTTAATTTTTCACAACTTCGTTGATAAAATGGTAGGAGTTCATACTCAACTCCTTAGACTACTGAATTTTACGTTATTTGTTTTATTTTTTCTAGTGCCACATCACATCGTATGTAGATATTAGTCGCTGGTTAAATTCATATGCATAGGAAAGAAAAAAAAAATAACTATTAACCTTGTTTGGCATTAGGTACTTGAAAATCAAATAAGTGATGATAAAATATCATGGTCGGTTAGATAATCAAGTGACTTTACTTCTTCGATCCTATTCATGAAATTAGGTAACTACTGTGAATTACGTAGGATTTGAAATTAACTTAAAAAGGTATTCGAGATATATATTCTATACTGAGCACCTTTATAGATGCGAAAATAAAGTTACAGACCACGATGGATGCATGATGAATTTGTGACATTTACTCCAACCAGATGGTTCGTGACTAGACTAATAAAAGGAGTCTTAAGTAGGAAATATAGATAAAAGACAGCTAACGAATCAGTATTTCAATTGAAAACCTCGAAAATTTGATCATGGGAGACAAGTTGAGCAGAAAATAACGATTGATAATATTTTAAAACTTTAGTAAATCAGTTCTTAATATCTTAATTGTTATTGTCAAATATTATACCTAGTAATGCAGGACGTAAATTGTAAAAGAAATTTGCAAACTCTCGAACATCGCTTCTAAATACTTGAAACAACGGTGATGATATGTGGATATTGTCACCTCTTCGACACATATATATCACTGATCAAATAAATTTAAAATCAATTGATGAATAGGATATAGTTAGGCTGTTAATTCCCTTTAAATGCGTGTTGATAAAATAGTAAGAAAATTCATCATTTTTTTTTTTTTGAAATACACGTGTCCCATTTTCATTGGATGGATCCTTTTAGGACCACGTCTATCTACAGTAGTCTCAATGATTTCCATTATGTGATTAAGTTGTTAATTAATGAGCTTCAACAATGCTTTTTTAGACTAATTCTTAGATAATTTTTTATCCCTAAAGGATAATCAACGAAGAATTCAATTTCATCGGAAGGAGTTGCCAATCCCAATCCCAATCCCGACCCCGATCAAGAAGAGTGGGTAAAGATCTGCTTGATTTTGATTTGCGATCAAGATAGAGAATTTACCCCAAAAGACAGTAATACAACTCTTTTTGTTTTTAGAAAACTTGCTTAATACACAGTATTGAACTAGTCTGTATAATATGAAAATGAAAATTATACAATCTCTCTACTAACCATGGTATAAGACAATATGTGAATGTGTAGAATAATTTCAAGAAGCGACAATGACAAAAATCTAAATTTCATTCTCAAATTATTTACACGGTGATTCAACGTCGGGTAATTTGAGTTCATTCTTAATCTATTCTAAATTCTTATTTTATTCAGCTTGTTATATTTTATATCTATCTCAACATCGTCTTATCCCTTTTTTATTCCAAAAAAATTTACGCGTAAAAAGTTTATTTGAATGTTGATCAAGAACTATAAATCATATACATAACCCCCACCCAAATGATTCAAAAAGTCATTAATTACCATTATAATGCACCTATGATTAAACTACAAGGTACAATACTTGTAACCCACTTAATAAAATGATCTAACATAAGATAACATCTAAATTAAACTAGATAAATATATAAATGACAGAATAATGTTATTCATAGTAAAGATTATCAATAGTCGTCATACGTAACATACACACGACAATTTATTATTTAATGCATGACGCAATAAAAAATTAGCACACTAATGTATCAAATAACAAACTGACAATGTAATTACTACAGGATGCTGGATTAACAAATATAAAATACATCAATTATGAATACTCTCACTATAAATAATTTTTTGAGTAAATATTTTGAGAAGTTTTTATTATCAATTATATAGTATTTCTATTAAAATTATTATTTTACATTTTATAATTAACTCTGAAAATTTCAGTGTATTCACAACAATCGAACTTACCTGTTAAACTAAAAATCAGAAATTAGTCTCGAATTTGTAATAGGCCAAACCCAAAAAGTTAGAATCCATTAAAATAACCTAAGAATTGATAGGTTTCACCCTCAAAACTTGGCCGGTTTCACAACTAAAATCGACCAATTCACCTAAAAATTGAAGAGAAATGTTAAATGCACTGAAGTGTACACTCCGCTCACAAGAGGGGGCCCACAGCCAATAA